AACCTTCAGAAGATCAACAGTAAATCTCCCTCAGCACCAGAAGACTAGATAAAGTGGATAATAAAAAGAATAAGGATTCACCAGGTGAAACTTGTGAAATATACAACAGGGAAGCCAGCACCACAGAGGATACATCAAGAACTAAACGAGAGCATAGGTCAAAGGAAGGGGAAGTAATTGCGGGGGTCTTCAAGAATTTTTTTCCAGATCTCAAACCAGAACCAAGATGTCTACCCCAGAAGAATTCAACTTGGAACAATCAGCAGTTATTTTGAAGAATCAAGCTGCCCAAATAGCAGAAATGGAAGAATCAATTCAGAGTTTGCAGAATATAGTCAATATGTTACTCAAACAAAGCAGGGAACCACAGATAGTCCCAGTGGATCCAATAGAATTTTCCAGGGAAGAAGTTCCAGAGATTTTTATAACAGATGAAGGCAGACTCCAGTCAGCAAGCCCTTCAATAACACCAATTGAGGATACGGAATTCAGGTTGATGGTCTGTAGTTATTCACTACAAGCAGAAGATTGGAGCAGCTATTCCAAATCTGGTCAGAAGAAAGTGGAAAAAAATAGTGAAGAAGCACAAAAGATAGAAGAAACTTACAATCTTCGAAATCTAAAGAATAATGTTTTCCAAGAACTGCATTTAGAATCTCAACAAAAACAGACCCTTCAAGAGGAGGTTCCACCTTTGCATAATAAATATTCCAACAACTTCTGGAAGTATGAAAGACCCCTGAAGCTGTTTAGAATGGTATTTTTAGAAGAATGGTATTATGATGAAATGAAGGGAAACTATCAACTGCCTCAGGAGCTACCTGGCAGAGGAGCCAGCAACTTGGATTTTATTCAGATCATCGCAGATATTGGAACAGAATCATTCTTCAGGGAAGAAAATTGGAAATCTAGATATGGTCAAATTGGATATAAACTCAGGTCTAGCATACATAATAAAGACAAGAAAGTACTGAGATGGGCTGAAAAGAACATACCTGGATACAAGCCATTTTCAAAAGAGAGACACCCTGTTTTTGGGCACATTCAAGAGTCACACTGTTGAATTTGCTCCAAGTTTAATGTACCAATTTGATTTTTATCTTTGTTCAGTCATATAAAAAAAATGTATATATATATATGTGATCAAAGAAGCCAACTAAAGATTCAAGATAGAGAGAAAATTGGAAGCAATGCAGTGTATAATTACTCATTTGGGGAGAGCTGTTTCAATCTCAATTATTTTAAATAAAAGAAAACTTTATTTTATTATCTGTCTCTATTTCATCTTCAATTGGGATTTCTTTGTTTTCTTTTTCTTTTCTTTCATTTTTCATCTTTTGTTTTTTATCTTATATTTTAGTTTTCTGTTCTGCTCACTTTAGATTACCTTAATCAAACACTTGTCCAAATTGATCAAAGTCGCTTTTTCTATTCTCCAGTGCAACAATCGGCATCAACCAGCTCGATCGGTGTTGCTTGTTAAGGTGTTCCCAATCAGTTCCTGGATCTCGCTTCCAACGAACGACTTAGTTTTTTTGGTACTCTCACTTCTTTCTTGTATTACTAGGGTGTGCTCTTATTACTTTGCCAGAGAGGGCAAAGTGACATGTTGGTTGCAG